TTTCCTAAACATCTATGAGTATCCCTGGATTTGTTTTCTAGTCAACCCGGTCTAACACAGCTTCTAACGTAAAGTTAGCCACTTAAACCTAACAGCCACACCAGTGAAGCAAGACAGGATGATGATCTGCTTCCCGAAGTATTACACATTTGAAACCACAGGGTAGATTTCCTCTGTCTCACAGGGCTTCTTTGAGTCAAAATTGACCTCATAGCAGCAGGTTTGGGTTCTTTTATTTATTTATTTTTATTAATCTCATTATATTCAGAAAGAAGAATTCTGAAGTTTCCAACTATAATTACATACGAGGAGATTTTTTTTTTAAATTGTGCATAATGAAATTAAAATATAATAGAATTTTCCTATGAATTTCTGGAAGCTACCTCATATTTTCAGGGTCCTAACAATGATTTTTGTGCTATGTTTTGATAATGTTCACTGTATTGTCTTCATTGTATTAATCACCACATGCATATGTGCATATATTTGTATGTGTGTTCATTTCTGTGTTTTTAATTGTTTTATGTCTCCTGTACTTTTTTGTCTGGTAAGAATTTTGAGGGTTAGCATTTACATCTGTTTTGTTCAAAGATGTCAATTTAGTGCATAGTACAGTTATTTGGTCCCCCAGTAATAGTTATTTAATAAATATCTAATTTCTTATCACAAATGTGTTAATCTTTAAGTCCCCAATATTATACCAATTAAATTATTTTGGCTTAATTATTTTTCTTTAGATTTGTATGGCAAACAAGTGCGTGGAAGACAATCTTTTGCCTATAGAATGTATGTCTACAAAATGTAATCTTCAGGGAGTAAGTATCCGTATCTTTGGCACATGTAAAGAAATGCAAAAAAGAGTCACACAATAACACAAAAATAACTGGAACATGGAATGTATGAAGTCTGACGACCAAAAATGTCTCAGTTTGAAAATTGGAATGTATACAATTCTCTTCTAAGACTAAAGCTTCTCAAGGCAACTAGGATTGACCACTTTAGATTGCACACTGCTCTCGTAGACTATGTCAGGTGATGCAGAGGAGCGGGGGCACATACAGTGCCCCAAAGCACATCTAAAGAGCGATCCTAAAGTAGAATGCTGTATGTGATAAGATTATGTCCATACGCCTACAAAAAAATTCCAGTAACAATGACAATTGTTCAAATGTATGCCTGAATCATTATTGTCAAAGAGGAAGAAATTTACTGATTCACTGCACAGGTATTTGCAACAAGACTGACAGTGATAACACACGTAGATCCTGCCTGATGAAATATGTGGAAATTAAATGGACTCTTCAGAACTGGAGAAGCTCAGTACTATCAAGAAGAGAAGGTCTATGGAAAACTGCACAACAGGGCAGCAATTGCTCATCTGCAAGTTGAAGCTGAAGAAAAAACTTTAAAATTGCATGGGAACCAAGTAAGACCTTGAAACTGTCATACCTGAGTTTAGAAATA